TCAGGAGAAATAATTTACAGAGATCCAACAGAAGACTAGAGGATCCCAAGAAACAAGCTAAAGATTTGAAATACAAAGAAACAAAAAATACCCAACTGAATAAGAAAAAAGTAAAGAGATTCCAAAAATATGAAGATAGTGTAAGGAGCCTCTGGGACAACTTCAAGCGTACCAACATCAGAATTATAGGGGTATCAGAAGAAGAGAGAAGGCAAGATATTGAAAAACTATTGGAAGAAATAATGACAGAAAACTTCCCCCACCTGGTGAAAGAAATAGACTTACAGGTCCAGGAAGCGCAGAGAACCCCAATCAAGAGGAATCCAAAGAGGACCACACCAAGACACATCATAATTAAAATGCCAAGAGCAAAAGACAAAGAGAGAATCTTAAAAGCAGCAAGAGAAAGACAGTCAGTTACCTACAAGGGAGTACCCATACCCCATCACCCTAAATCTGAATGACTAAAATGTGGATGTCCACTATGAAATATTGCACAGTTGTTCTATGTAACAGTCTAAGTATATACATAGCAATAAGAACAGGTCTTAAAAGCATAGCGCTGAGTAGAAAGAGTAAGAAATAGAGTGAGGTTTATAGCACAGTACCATTTAGGTAAGTTAAAAATACACTCACACTAAACACCACACGTTTTCCAAAGACACTCCCATACACCATTGGGGAAGGTGGCAGGAGTGGAGAAAGGAGATAAAAGGCTGTAAATACATAAAACAGGAGAGAGGCCTTGCAGAGCCCTGATGATAGTGTGCTACAGTGAGAAATGAGTAATTCACACTCTGCATCCGGGATTTTAAAAAATAAGCAGCTTTCGCAGTTGTTCAGGACAGCGTGGAGGCACCTTGGACTAGGGTGGATGTGGTGATGAAAAGTGGATTGACTATGCTATACCAATGAATACATGTAACGCATTTCAACAGTGCCTGATACAGAGTAGGTGCCCAACAAATGCGAACTGTTCTTATTTTTATATTGCAGACACTTAGTGATGGATCGAATATGTAAGGAAAGGGAGACAGTGGTGTCAAGGAGAACTTCCAGATGCTGGATCGGGCTATTGTTGCCAAGTGGGAGGTGAATAAATGAAGTGAGGACCCACAATTCTTTTTGAGGAATGTGGATAGGAAGGGGAAGACAGAGTTATCCCTTATATGTGGACAAAGCTCTAAAAATACACTTTTTAAAAATTAATCAAGCCCGGCTGGTATGGCCCAGTGGTTGAGTGTTGACCCATGAACCAAGAAGTCCCTGGTTTGATTCCTGGTCAGGGCAAATGCCTGGGTTTCGGGCTCAATCCCCAGTGTGGGGCATGTGGGAGGCAGCCAATCGATGTTTCTCTCTCACTGATGTTTCTATCTATCCCTCTCCCTGCCTCTCTCTATAAAGTCAATTTTTAAAACATATTTTAAAAAATAAAATAAATAAAAGACATTATATCTTTTAAAAAAATAATCAAGTAAAACAGGTTTGTTGTAGAAACATCGTAAGAGATAAATTCAAACAAATTACTGAGTCCCAAATATCTCTGTGGAGCATATTTGACGTGCAGGAGAAATGGCTCCTGAGATCTTTACAAATGTAAACTTTGTGAAATCCCTGCTGGCATAAGTCTCTACAATGCAGGATATAGGGCTGAGGCTGGACAAAAGGTCAAGTCATCCATTGAGATAGACACCACGGGGAAAAATTTAAAAAGCTGGTGGATGAAAATGATGCATGCAGTTTTGGGCTGAAACAGTTTGTTTTGAAGTCTGAGATTCTCCTAATGAATACAAAAATACTGAGGGCCTATTATGTGCCAGACACTGTACTGGGTGCTGGGGATACATAGATGAACAAAACCAATGATCCTCACCTCACTGAGTTGGCCAGAGTACCAAATATTCAAACAGAAAAATATGTAATAAACTTTGGTAGGGGTTATGTAAGAAATTATAAAATACTAGCATGTAAACCATTACAGGTAAATGTTTGCTCACATCCTTAATATGTTCCTGCGAAGATTCCCTAAAGACTCGATATCTGTGTCTACAGACTTGCTTTTTAAAATTATTTTTTAAAAATTAGACTTTTTTGTCCTCAGCAACATTGAGGCAGAAAACAAGAGTTCTCATATACCCACTGCTCCCCCTCAACAATATTCTTTTTTAATGTTTTTTATTTTTAATTATTCTTTTACAGAGGCTTTGGAGAACGGGGAAGGATGCTGAAAACACGCAAGGACCCCAGTTTGTTAAAATGAGGTTGAGCGGAAGAGTCGGGACTGGGTAAATAAAAACTACATTTCCCAAGGGGCAGCGCGGCACGTCACATAAAATGGACGGCGCACGCGTAAAGGGGTCCTCCGCGTTGCGACTCGGCTCTTAAAAGGGTAAAAGAGTGGTTCTCGAGGTGCCGCGAATCTTCGAACGCAAGCGAGTTATTCCATACAGACTTTGAAGAGCATTCGAGGGACGCGCCTACACCCGCCCTCGCAGTTTCCAGCGCGCCGTGCTTGTCCCGCCCGTGGACCGGTAGGTGGGGCTGGGACCCGATCTGAGAACCGGAGAGAGTGGCGGGAACGTAGGGCTGGGGTCCTCCCACTGCCTCCCCATTTCCCGGCCTCGCCGAGGCGGCTCCCGAGAGGCCGTGCGCACGCGCCTGGTCTCCCTGAGGAGGCGGGGCTCGGAGGGGGAGGGGCCCCCGCGCGGGTCCTTGGGGTCTGCGCGTGCGCAGCAGGTCCCGCGAAGATGGGAAGCCGCAGTGGGCGGAGTTTGGTGCGGAGGCCGCCAAGGTGGGGTCCTCCACCCAGGGGCGAGAAGCCGAGTGCTGAGGTGGGCTCCGAGCTCGGGCGGTTTTATTATATGCTCAAGACGCGCCCCTCCTAACAACACAACCTCCTTCCCCCACCATATACCTCCAGTTGCTTTCCCTCAACTGCCTCCGTTTGCAGCCACATCTTCAGTCTTGACTCACTAGCAGCGCCCCCGTCATGCCCGGTCCGCTCCGCTGAAACCGCTTTCCCGAGGCCACCAGCCATCCAGAGGCCCCCAAGCGCGCTGGGTCTCAGCCCCCGCGCAGTAGTTGATGCAGCTGATCACCGCCCCCTCGTGAAACACCTTCTGCATTTGGTGAGGGGGACGTTCTCGGCCTTGGCCTCCTTGGCCTCGGCGCTCTGGCCTCCTGCTGATGCTCGCCCTCTTGCTGTAATGCTTGCCTACGGCCTCCTCCTAATCTCTCCCCTGCTTTCACTTCCGAGCAGTTACCCGTTTTCGAGGCTTTAAATATAAATGCCACCTGTTGTGACAACTCTCAGGTGTCTGTCTTCAAATCCAGTGCTCCACCCTGGACTCCAGGTTTTTCTTCGGCTCTCACGGGGCACCTCTTAAATATCTGAAATTTTGGGTTTTGCCCTTCACCTTCCCCCGTCTTCCTTTTCTTCCGGTTCTCCAGGCCAAACACCTTGAGTTACATTCTTGGTGTCTTTTTCGTCTCCTCTCTCCTCCACCATCAACGTGCCAGCACATAGTTATCCTTGAGGCTTTGAAAGTTCATGAGTGGGTATTGGATGGTAGGTCTCTTTGGCACTTGGTTGGTTCTTTCTGCCTGAAAAATTGTGTTTTCAGTTCTCTGATATTCTCTGTCACTATTGAGATTTATCCACCTAACTGTACTCTGTTGTAGATGTCCCTTTTAGAACATTTATTTCACCTACAGAGATGTATATGGAACTATTTGTTGAATGTCTGTGGTTCTTTCTGGACTGTTTGTCTCTCTCACTGTTTTATAGCCCACAGGGCTGGCACAGAGTAGGTGCTTGATAAATATTGGTAAATGAATCCTATATAATAAAACTCTAATATGCAAATTGGTCACTATGATGCACACTGACCACCAGGGGGCACATGCTCAATGCAGGAGCTGCTCTTTGGTGGTCAGTGCACTCCCACGGGGGGGGGGGGGGGGGCACCGAAGACAGGCTGACGGCTGACAAGCACAGTGGTGGTGGCGGG